TGTGATTTGTCTCAGCATTATCCATTTGTACCAAAGTTTTTCTTGCCAAAAGCACTTAAACATTTTCCCACCAAACTCCCCTTTTGCCCTTGCTTAAGCATTTGCTATCATGTTGTGCAGTTCTATTTGTATTTATGACTCTGTTCCCTAGTGCAATAGCTAGTGCTGTTATTATGGTGTTAAAGTGGTTATCAACATTTTGTCCAACTCCCTTACTGAAAAGGAAAAAGACCTCACTGATGTTAAAAACTAAGTTGGAGATAAAATATTTACCTACAACGGGTGAAAATCCCTCAGCCCTAGAATGAGCTTTTAACATATTACAGATAGTCTTTGCTTAATGATCCTAATTAGGACCCGCAACTCCCACTAAGCCCGCAACCCCCAACCTTTTGGGAACCAGGGACCAGTTCTGTGGAGAGAGATTTTTCTGCAGACTGGAGAGGGTGTGGTTCTGCATGCTACCTGCATCCCGCGGATGGGGCTTTGCTTGTTTGCGCAGCCTGGTTTCTAGCATGCCACAGACCTGGGTTTGGGGACCTCTGCATTAAAGTTGGAAATCACATGACTACAATTGTACTTTCCAGTTAGAAAGAGACAAGAGTAGTTAGTTTCACACCTTCAGCTTTTGTTTGCTTCCTAACTGCTCATTCTTTGGAATGCTCAACTGCCTACTTATTGTCTTGTATATATTAAAAACAATGCAATCACACCATAGCCTGGAACTGGGAGCCGTGGGCACGCTACAAAAGCAAGTTACTCTCTTGAAATCCCTTTGTCTCTGGTCTGTGGGAGTGGAGATAGAAAAAAAGCAAGTGATTTCTGATCTCTCCTTTGCCTGATCCTTTCTCACTGCTGGTGTGATCACATTGATTTCAATATGTGGAAGGGTGAACAGCTCATTCTCTTGAAATCTCTGCAAGGCGGAAGGGTCACACAAAGGAGACATTACCTACAGAGATCACTTGCTTTTTTTCTTGCCGTTCTCCAGCCGAGAGGAGGGATTAGAGAGAAAGAGATTTCAAGAGAGTACTGTAAGCTGTTTGTGTAACATGCCCGCAGCTATCAGTCCTGAGTTGGCATATTGATCACATTGCTTTTGATGTATAGAAGAGCAAATAACTTACTTTTGTAATCCCTCTCTGCAATCTTTCTGCAAGAGGAGAAAGAAAAAGGAAATTTCAGATTAGGCACAGGACAATGCAGATTAACTGTAATGGCACTCATGTGACTATGAGATACTGCGAAGCTGGTAAATAGTTGTAAATGGGCTATAAAAGTTCTTTTTTTCCAACACTGTCGTAACAGAACAAATATAGTTGGTAAATGAGGAGTACTTGTATGTGAAATATTGCAAGAAGTGCTGATAAAGATGAAACAATGCTAATAAATGCAAGACAAGGAAGAAAACTTGTTTGAGTAATATTGGGTATGTTTAGTTTAATGAAAAGAAAAACTAGGGATGATATTTAGCAGTGTTCCAGTATCTAAGGGGTTGCCATAAAGAAGAGGGGGGGTCAACCTATTCTCCAAAGCACCAGAAGGCAAAACAAGAAGCAATGGATGGAAACTAATTGTGGACAGAAGCAACCTGGAACTAAGGAGGAGTTTCCTGACAGTTGGAGCGATCAGTAGAATGACTTGCCTCCAAACACTGGGTGCTCCAACACTGGAGATTTTAAAGAAGAGATTGGACAGCCATTTGTCTGAAATGGTATAGGGTCTCCTGCTTGAGCAGAGAGTTGGACCAGAAGACCTCCAAAGTCTGTCCCCACTCTGATATTCTGTTATTCTGAGAGCTTAAGTAGAAGGCTCTAAAAAATTATGAACAAATTTGTCATTGCATTTGGGTTACAGAATTTAACACCATGCCTTTCAAGCCCGTTTTTTCCCCTCTGGTATACTTTATGTGAGATTTTCAAGGAACGCAACCCTAGCATAAAGTAAGGGAAGCCTCTAGTTGTAGTTATTAGAACTGTTAGTAATAGGGTGCTGTGAAAATGAAATGTACTATGCATACTTGCAACATTTTGAAAATGTGTTTAAGAATTAGAAAAATAGAATGGTTAATAATTTAAGAATGTTTAATTTTTAAGCAGATTTCACGTTGTCTTCATCTATTATTCAACTATATAAAAGGTTTGCTTAGGGTCTTCTGCCTTCCTTATGAAATGTTGTTTTAAAAAAAACCAAACAAACAGGAAAGCTGAAAACTATTAAAAATACAGTGTTTCTAAAAACTAAAACACTTTTTAATAGTTTTATTTTCCTTGATTATAAAAACCAGTCTTGTTATTCTGAAACGGGGGTAACTTAGTTGATATTAAGATAAGGTAACTTCATTAATTATGAAAACATTAAAAATGGTAACTATCTTTTTCTAAAAGAACTAATTTGGTAACTTTAGAGTAGAAAATTGAATTCTGATGTTACAAAAAAGAAAGAAAGGACAACGTTGATTTTTGGTATACTGAAAAGAAAGATAGAGAAATGATATTCTACATTTAGGCAAGAAAAACCAAATGTACAGGTATAGTATAGGGGGTACCTTGCTCAATAGTAGTAACTGTGAGAGGAACCTCGGAGTCCTAGTGGACAATCACTTAAATATGAGCCAGCAGTGTGCTGCAGCTGCCAAAAAAGCCAACACAGTGCTAGGCTGCATTAACAGAGGGATAGAATCAAGATCACATGAAGTGTTAATACCAGTTTACAATGCCTTGGTAAGGCCACACTTGGAATACTGCATCCAGTTTTGGTCACCACGATGTAAAAAAGATGTTGAGACTCTAGAAAGAGTACAGAGAAGAGCAACAAAGATGATTAGGGGACTGGAGGCTAAAACATATAAGGAACGGTTGCTGGAATTGGGTATGTCTAGTTTAACAAAGAGAAGGACGAGGGGGGA